TTGGTCCAAGGTTGAGGATGTCATTTGGATTCATGTACTAAAGTATCTAGAGAGCACAGACTAGTATTCAAAGTTTATTAACTGATATCCACCATGAATCAATTATTATCCCAAATTCACAAACTAATATCTTGACAACACAGAATAGTATCCAAACAACACATAATTAGTATCCTAATAACACATAAGAGTATCCAGATAACCCATAAGAGTATCCATATTGAATTAGTAATTGGTTGATTGTGGATATTAGTTGGTATATGCTATCTGAATACTAGTTTTTAATGTTTTGAATACTAGTCTGTACTATTTAGATATTTAGCAGACTTGAATATTAGTTCATATATTTTTTATATTAGTTATTATGAACTATTTTTATATTAGTTAGTATATACTAACGAATTTTCAAGTTAGCCGAATAACTCTGCTATCCGTTGATGGGTACAAACGAGAAAGGTAACAATCGGATACAAAAGTGGAGAAAAGCGAGAAAAGAAAAAAAAAGGAAAGGAAGAAACTTCAAACTTCGGCCGAAACTTCAAACGAACGTAACTTTGCACTCGGGTATCCGATCGTAGCGATTTTTTTTTGAATCCGAATAACTTTTCGAGATCTTGCAAGCCGCAGGGTGGGGCGGCGGTTTTTGAAAAAGGGTGGTATTTTTGGAATTTTTTGGGATTGAGTGGTATTTTTGGAATTCTTTTTTTAAACAGTGGTATTTCTAAAAAAAGTCCTAAAGTTACACCCTGATAAGGTGATAGGTGGAGTTGAGGGTCGGATTTTATGGGTTGATTGTGAATGGAAGTATGAGATCACAATCGACTGATGTTTTGCCTAAGAATTTGATTGTATTACTATATATATATATATATATATATATATATATATATATATATATATATATATATTCAACTTCTAGATTTTGCGCTTCTTATTTAGAGGTGACAATTCTCAATCCAATCCACCAATCCATTAAAAATATCCACATAATCCAATCCATTTAAATCTAATTGGATTGGTGGATTCATGGATTGATCCATGGATCCAAATGGAAAATTACGGTTTGGTACCTATATTTTTTATATTTTACATTTTGGTACTTAAAATTTATTTTTTATTCGAAAAATATCATTGGAAAACTACGTTTTGGTATCTAAATTTTTTCATTATGACAATTTAGTACATAAACTTTTCAAAATTTACATATTGGTCCAAGGTTGAGGATGTCATTTGGATTCATGTACTAAAGTATCTAGAGAGCACAGACTAGTATTCAAAGTTTATTAACTGATATCCACCATGAATCAATTATTATCCCAAATTCACAAACTAATATCTTGACAACACAGAATAGTATCCAAACAACACATAATTAGTATCCTAATAACACATAAGAGTATCCAGATAACCCATAAGAGTATCCATATTGAATTAGTAATTGGTTGATTGTGGATATTAGTTGGTATATGCTATCTGAATACTAGTTTGTAATGTTTTGAATACTAGTCTGTACTATTTAGATATTTAGCAGACTTGAATATTAGCTCATATATTTTTTATATTAGTTATTATGAACTATTTTTATATTAGTTAGTATATACTAACGAATTTTCAAGTTAGCCGAATAACTCTGCTGTCCGTTGATGGGTAAAAACGAGAAAGGTAACAATCGGATACAAAAGTGGAGAAAAGCGAGAAAAGAAAAAAAAAAGGAAAGGAAGAAGAGAAGCAGAAGCTAAACATACTTTGGCAAAAAAAAGAGGGCAATGTCTATTTTTTACCCAAACCTTTTCAAAATTCTTTTATTTTACCCAAACCTATCAAAATTCTATTTACTATCCAAACTTATTGTAACTGATCAAAGTCTGGGCATTCGTTCTGTTACCGTTACTTATTTCGTAACGGAACTCCACGTCAGCGTACACGTAAGCGTACACGTCTGAAATTAAGATTTTTAATAGTATAAATTAAAAACAAATATATTTATCTGATTAATTGGGTGATTCTTACCCTCTCTTCGTTTGAACACCCAGAAAGGGCTCGCAGCCTCCGTCGTCGGCCTTCAAAACCTCGCAGTCGCCGTTCGAAGACTCGCCGTCGCCGCTCGAAGACTCGCCGCCGCCGATCGAGTCTTGTGCTGCCGTTCTCGGTTTCTTCCCTCCAACATCGTCTCACGCAAGGTAAGATGTTTCTCGATCTCTTATCTCTTGAGCAGTAGTGTCGAATCTCAATAGGATTGTTGATTGAGATGTTTCTCTCGGTCTCTTCTCCTGTTCTGCGTAATAGAAGCAAGAATCATGTCTGCAAGGTCGAGCTCTGCAAGGAAGGGATGCGCAGGGGACGGATCTGCAAAGGAGGGCTCTTTTAGCTCGAACAACGCAAATAACGATTCAGTGCCTCGTTGTGACCACAAAGTTCCGTGCATTGTTAACAAGTCTGGTACCTCTAGGAATCCCGGAAGGCAGTCTTATTGCTGCCCATATTGGAAGGTAATGTATTTTGGTTTGTTTTGTTGCTTGTTGACCTAAATTCGAAATAGCCATTGCCATTCCTAACTCTTGATTTTTTAGACTGAAGACTGCAGGTTCTTCATATGGGTGGATGTGTATGAAATGCAGATCAGGAATGGATCATGGGGTGACTTGTTAGCAAAACTTATTGAATATGAAGAAATGAATAGTAAGTTGTCAGAAGAGTTGCTTAGGACCAAAGAAGATCAAGCAAGGATGATATCGGAGATGAGCAGATTGAGCAATGTCATTTGTAGTCTAGATAGTAGGATAAGAAGCTTGATGGTCTGTGTAATTTGTGTCATTGCTTTTGTCGCATTATGTACATTTCAGGGAGTTTGACTGTTGTGGCAAGCAAGTTCAGAATGTAAGTTCGATTGTGGAAACTAAGTTCAGAATGTATGTTTCACTGCTGTGGCAAACAAGTACCAAATGTAATGTAAGATTGATTGTTGTGGCAAACTAATGTATCTGCGATAGTATTAATTGACCTCATCCCTGTCATTGATAAGTAAAGAAGAGGGTACAAGATGGATCGAGCTCTTACAAAATACAATGAGGCTGACCTAAGTCACCACAAAAGGTCAATCTGTTTCATCATGCCCTGCTAACACAACATACTACCTTAAATTTACAACTAGAACGGTGAAAGATGTTGCAAGATGAATCGAGCTTTTACAAAATACAAAAGAGGGTGAACAAAGTGAGTCACCACAAAAGCTCATTCAGTTTGATCATCTCATACCCTTCCTAAGTTATCTACGAACTACATAAACATCATACCCTACACAAGTTATCTAGCAACTATATAAAGCTCATTCCTGAGGCTGAGATGGTGGCTGAGTAGATGGCCCTTGAGTATCATCAAACTCAGTTTGTTGAGCTCCCAATCCAGTCGCAGATGTACCAGCCACAGCTTCCAGATCAGTATATATTGCCTCTCCACCTAGAGCATCCCTCACTTCTCTATCAACCACCAAGTTCCTATGAAGAGGCTGACCTGCTCCAGCCTACACCAATCAACAGAATTATTCATTGAAGAGTGATGCATTCTAACACAAGCAGGTATGCTACCAGAATATGCCTTCCGAACGGTTGATACGAGGAATGAAGTGTGCACAAAGTCCTCCAACTCTTGCCTCATTAACCCTATAGCAGATAGTGCATGGCAACAAGGAATGCCACTCAAATCCCATGCCCCACAAGTGCAACTACGAGCCTGCAAATTCACAATATATGCTGCTGCCCCATAACTAACCTCTGCAACAAAATCAGAACTAGCTCTAGCAACACACATCCTAGTAGGGCTGGGAATTCAGTCCGGATTTTTCGGTCAAACCGGAAACCGGGCAGTTTAAACCGTCCCGGTTGTAACCGGAAACCGGATTCTCATTAATCCAATCCAGTTTGCGGTCTGAGGTTGAGGGTAAATAACCTCCCCGGTCCCGGTCCAGTTTTACCCGGTTTTAACCGGAAACCGGATAACAGACCCAAGACTAAGCCTGACCCAGTGAAGCCCAGCCCAAACCACACCTCCTTACTATGAAGCCCGAGACCCATGCCCAAACCCAAGCCCGACCCAGTGAAGCCCAGCCCAACCTCTTTAGTTTTGAAGCCCGAAACCCATAACCCCACCCACAACCCTAACTCCTACAGCCGCCGCTCTCCTCTCCCTCTTCCTCTCTCGATCTTAAACTCAATCTCTCACCCCTCTCACCCACGGCGACGACGACGACGACCTCGGCTGTCTAATCGTCGGCTCTCACTCCAGAAGAAGAAGAAGAAGAAGACGAGAGGAGAAGGACTCCGAAGACACAACCCGTCGACGATTATTGATTCCCATCTCGAGCTTTTCTCCGTCGGGTTCTGCATGCGCCAAATACACCGCCGATCTATCTCCTCCAATCTTCCTCACACTCCGCCGCTTTCTTTTCTTGCTTCACCGCTTCCTCTTCTTCGTTCTCTCTCGACACTATGTTGGCGGAGGCGTGGTGAGTAGCTCTATTGGGCTATTGGCGGAGATGAGGTCGACGATGAAGGGGCAGGGGCAGTTCTGTTCGGAAAAATTCAAGGACGGGAAGGAGCAGCTCTGTTGGCGGAGGCGAGATCGACGAGGATCCAGTGATGACGGAGGTCGGAGAAGACATGAAAAGAAGGGTTGAGATTTTGGGAGGAAGAAAGAGAAGGAAAGTAAATGAGGGTTGAGAGGGATCTGCTGGGTTTCTCTGTGGGATTGGAAATGGAAGTGAGAATTTGGAGATGGTGGTTTTTCGGGAGAGAAGGAGGTGAAGAGCGGCTGTCGTTTTGGGAGAAAGGAAAAGTTCCGGTTTTTTGGTTGAAACCGGATCGGACCGGATTCAATCCAGTCCGGTCACGGTTGAAACCGGCTCCCTATCCAATCCAATTTCCGGTTGCTGTATTGGTCGAGACGGTTTTAAAAAACCGGGTTAATCCGGTCCAGTTTTAACCGGACCAAACCGTTTCCCACCCCTACATCCTAGCCTTCAAATCCTCTACAGTGATCGTACTCATGACAGCTGGACATATAACTGACTGCATCTTCTCAAACTTCTTACGTTTCTTCCTCATTTGGACCATAATGTACCCTCTAATGGCCTCTAACATTGCAATTATCCGATACTCCCTTGCCTTCACAATGACATTATTCCAGCTCTCACAAATATTGCTTTCCACAAAGTCTGATTTTGGGAGTCGAGAGAGGAAAGCACGACAAAAAGACTTGGGGTCTTGCTCCATAAAGTCTGAAAATGGGGTCATTACTGCTTGTGCATTTTGGAAAGCCTCCATTTTGGTCGTGGCAGTCTCATATTCTGGCACATTAAATGCATAAACTGCCTCCCAGTAGATCTTTCGCATCTTCTCATTCTTAACCTTGACCTTCCAATTTGCAAACACGTGGCGGACACACTTTCGATGCTCGACACTAGGCATAACTAGATTGATTGCTTCAACTAACCCCTGAAATAAAAAAAGAACAAATCTTAGAAACTACGCTTCAACTACGAGCCTGCAAAACCACAAAACATGCTTTATATATGTAAAAAATAACAAGGTTGGGAATACCTTTTGCTGGTCAGAAACTACGCTCCATCCAACCCCGTCCCCGAATCCCAACTCCTCTTGCAAATGCTCTAGAAACCACTTCCAAGAACTCTTGTTCTCACCCTCCACAACAGCCCATGCGAATGGGTAAATGTGACTGTTCCCATCCTTCCCAACGGCAGTCAGCAGCATTCCTGGAACCTCGCCCTTGAGGAAGCAACCATCGATGGAAAAATTTGGCCTACAACCAGCCAAAAAACCCTTTCTCAATCTGGAAAACCCAACATAAAACCGTTTGAAATGCACCTTCTCAGCCACTTGCACATCCGGCTCAACTTCAAGTTCGAAACGTCCCTCAGGATCTGCTGCTATTAGTGCAGCCACATAACGACGAAGCTTGTTATACTCTTGTTCAAGAGTACCACATAACATCTCTTTAGCAATGGCCCTCGCAGTATAACACACCTTCAATTCAACATCAACTCCAAGCTCACGTTTCACCTCCATCGCAATAAGTGGGGCTTTCCAATCTGGCTCACTCTTGAAACGCTCAAGGAAGTGCTCGGCAATAAACCTAGCAGTTGCTAGGTTTACTCGAGTCGACCTAGTGCATGAGTGAGGCAACCCAACCCTTCTGACTATAAAAAACGCATTCCCTGACCACCAGGCAACATAAACCCTCCAAGAACAATTCTGGTCTTTGTACCTGTACTCCCTCCTACTTTCATCACTTTTTTTACACCACACACTAGCCCCAGCAGCCACAACATGGTTTGAAATTGCCTTTTTAAAGTCTTCAACATCCAAAAACATCATCCCAACTGTGAACTCCAACGCTTTGTGATCACAATCTGGATCGTAGAAAGACAGATCATCGAACATATATGCGGGTTCCTCATCCAACAAACCTGTTCTTCTATGGGCAGAAACCGAGACCTCATCTTCGCCATCTTCTTCATCTTCATCAAGAATGTAGTCTCCATCATCTTCTTCCTCGTCCATGTCACCATCATCTCCCATAGGCTGATCCACCTCTTCCCCTGCTTCACTATCTGGACTGTTGACCATTGGAAGATGATTCTGCTTCTCAGATGACTCCTCATCACTAGAGTCAGCCACGTGCATTATCTCCTTAGCAACCGAATATTCCCCCACTTCAAAGTAGTCATCATCATTTTCAAGCCTTGCTATGTTGTCCGCAGTGTCATTGTCACCCATCAAACCATCATCAGCCTCGACACAATCAACAAACAGTGAGACCTCCTTAGTCTGTGCTGTATCAACTAGCAGACCCTCCATGATTTCCTTGTCGGTCATGATTTCGTGTAATCCCTCTGCCATTGTGGCTCCAGGAGTCAAGTACCACATCTTCCGGACTCCGTAGTAGTTCAAGTATCCAGTGCACAAAGACAGAATCCCAAAGTAGGAAACTTCATCAACATCCACCTTGAACTTCTCCGAAAACCCTCCAACATACTTTGGGGAATCACCAGAAAAATCCATCACTCCTCCATGATGGAAATCCAGATTGATATATTCAGTCATCTGTAGCAAAAGGTTAGAATTAGGTTAAGGGTTTGAAACCACAAAATCACAGATTAGGGTTTGTAAAAGGGTTCGAAAATGGAGAAGGGATTTCGTCTTTGAATCAAAATTTCAGAAGGATTAGGGTTTGAATCGAAAACCTAGAACCAACTTAACTTGCTCGAACAGAGACAGCTGTCCGGAGGAGATGGAAGCGATTCGGCGACAGTCTTGCTTGCTTTCTCTGCAACGATTCGGCGACACTCCGTTGCTTGCTTCAGATCGATTCTCAGTCGCACGTCGGGGGGAGAAGTGGAAGCGCGGCGCTGGGTGCTGGGACAGTCGGCGCGGGGAGCTTTAACAGGCGACGGCAGCGCTTGCTGCCTCGCCTGCTGGAGAATGAGGCTTCGTCGTCGGCCGATGGAAAGGAGAAGCTGGGGAGACAGAAGAGGATGGGAATCGAATGGTTCCTTTTTTTTTATACTTTACTCACGCGATTATTTACTTTACAAATAATTTTTTTTAATTAAAAACCACCACGTAGGATTCCACCTCATTCGGACGCTGCTGAGTCAATAAACGTAACAGAATAGTTAACGGTGGGATAACGATTGGATAATAAATAGAATTTTGATAAGTTTGGGTAAAATAAAAGAATTTTGAAAAGGTTTGGGTAAAAAATAGACATTGTAAAAAAAAAAAAGAAGCAGAAGCTAAACACAGTAAAACTAAAATGAAATGGCTTGCGGTTGGTTACGCTATCATTCACTTTCTCGGAGGAGAGAGAAGGCGAGAAAATTCTATGCTTCCCCCAACTCTGTTTGTTTGTCTACTTCCTTGCCCTTCCAAAAAAAAAAAAAAAAAAATCCTCCCGATCTGTGCAGTCTCTCTTCCTAACTCAGACTCTGCCCAATTAAATGTTCTGTAGATCCAAGTAACAGTCTCGCTTCTGCTACCACTGCTTCCTCGCTGGTCGTGATTCCGCATTTGACCTCCTTCGCCTTATCTCTTCGTCTCCCCCGTCGAGATCGCTGTTTATTCAACCACTCTCTCTGACTTCCGCGCGTTGAAGGGATTTTGACGCCTAATTTTGGCAACTTGGGGTCAAGCTGCTGTCATATGTGCTTGTGGGAGCGCCGACCTTCTGCTTCTCCGCAGTTTCAGAGCTTGAGTTGAATTTTGGTTGTTAATGTGGGTGTGGAGTTGCTGCTGTTAGAGATCAACTACGCGCTCGTATGGTAGTTTAGGGTTCGGGGGTTGTTTCGCGCAGGAGGAAAAGTTGGAGACTTACAGAGGGTTATCTATTTTGCTGCATCTGAATGGTACCGTTTACGTGATTGGGTGGATTGTCGTCTCTTCCACTGCTGGTTTCCCAAGTCTTCAATGCCGGGTGGGATTTTGGCGGCGGGAAGTAAGAATGATGGGAGCAGTTAATGATTTAATGGAGTAATGATTATGGTAATTTAAGTTTTTCAAGCTCTGCGGAGGCGGAACTAGGTTTTCTGAGTTACTCGTGATGAGAATTTGTAGTGAACTGTTAATTTAGAAGGGGTTTAAGGTGTTTGGATAAAGAGAGAGATGCCGCCGTCTCCAGCTATTAGATTCTCTCCCGGGAGAGAGCTGAAAGCTGCTGATAACCACAAGCGAGGCCGGAGTCTTGAAGGTGGGATTTTGTTCAAGGAGAGAGATGATGATCTTGCTTTGTTCAATGAGATGCAGAGCAGGGAAAAGGAGGATTTTTTGCTCCAGTCGACTGATGATTTTGAAGACTCATTTTGTAAATGCTTCTATACCATTCTCCTAGTGCTTTTTATTATGGATGGTTTGGTGTGGAATCTATAATGTTTTAAGCATCTAGAGGTTAGTGATGGTTCTGAATGGCTTGCTTTTTTATGGAATTTATTCAGCAACGAAGTTGAGATACTTCTCGGATTTGAAACTGGGGATCTCCGTTCCTGGGCGCGGGGAGAGTAGCGAGCTGATGAATGCAGAAGAGGACAAGAATGACTATGATTGGTGGGTTTACCGTTTCCTTGTTTCCACATAGCGAGCTTTCTATTGTGTATTGTACTTGTGCCAATCCCTGCATATTAGAGCTTTTCATGTGGTCCTATAATCTGCACAGATTGCTTCTTCCCAGTTGGTTAAGTTACTGAAAGTAAATTGGTTTTGTAGTTTTTGGTCACACGTCCAGTAATGTGAATGATCTCACTTTGAGTTGTTTTGTTAGGTTATTAACTCCTCCAGACACTCCTCTGTTTCCTTCTCTGGATGATGAGCCACTGCCACCGAATGTTCCATCCAGGGGCAGGCCTCGAAGTCAACCTATTTCCATATCAAGATCATCCACGGTATGTATGCTTGCGCGTGCACGTGTCCACAGTTTGGTTTCTATTATTTTAGTTTCCTTCAACTGAAAATTCAAGTCTATATGCAGATGGAGAAGAGTTACAGAAGCAGCAGGGGCAGTGCTAGTCCAAATCGTTCAAGTCCATCGCCTCGCTCTGGTAGTAATACAATTCAGTCAAGGGGAAGGCCATCTTCTGCACGTAACTCTAGTCCAACTCCTAGTCCACGACCCGCCACCCCATTACACAGGCCATCTACTCCTTCACCAAATAAAGCCTCACCACCTGCCCCAAGGTCTTCTACACCAACTCCAAGGAGGGCGAGCACAGGGTCAGCGACAAGAGGAGTTTCTCCAATACGGACTACTACAAGGGGGAATTCTGTTTCTCCTAAAGTGAGGGCATGGCAGTCAAATATACCTGGTTTCTCCTCTGAAGCACCGCCTAATCTTCGTACTTCTCTGGGCGATCGACCAGCATCATACGTGAGGGGCACCTCGCCAGCATCTAGGAATGGAAGAGACTCAAGCTCAAGAGTTGGCAGGCAATCGATGTCTCCAACTGCTTCTAGAAATGCCAGTTCTTCACACAGTCAAGATCGAGATAGAATAAGTTCATACAGCAGAGGTTCTGTTGCCTCATCTGGTGATGATGATGTGGACTCTTTACAGTCCCTTCATGTGGGCAGCTTAGATCGATTAGCATCCAGAAGAGTTGGTGGGATTTCGAGCAGCAAAGTGTCAGCAACATTGCCAAAGAAGCCAGCTAGAACATTCTCCCCAAGTTCTGCTCCAAAACGGTCCTTTGACTCTGCAATTCGTCAAATGGTATCTCTCGTTGTCTTCTCTAATTAAACTCTTCATCAATATCACAGTATCAGAGAGGGGTTTTGTTTCTTTCGGGCTTTCACCTTCTCAATTACAAGCGTTCCTTTCATGCATAGTTATGCAGAAGTTTGAGTTGATTAAGCTGTACTTCTTTAGGGCACTTGACTGTGCATAAAACCTTGTACAATCTGTAAATGTACCCATTTAACATGATATTTCACCCTAATCCTATGCAATGTACATTCAGTAGATAGTGCCCATAAGCCTTCACCACCATAAGTCCACTTGTCATCCACAATATTAAATTAAAACTCGTTTTGTCTCTTAAAACTTAATCCTGTAGCTTATTGTCAATTAACACTTGTCATCCACCCAAACAGGGTGTAAAATGTTAAAATTATCCGCCCTTTAACAAGGATGGGAGATAACCAAACCTTTTTAGATCCTTGCCATGTGTTAATTTCTACATTGTCAATTATGACCTTGTTAGTTGAACGGTGGCCTTGGTTAGGTTTCCATCTTAGTCTTTTTTGTCTCTCGTATTTGCTGTATGCGATACAGTTAGCTTGTCTTAACGTTTCAAAGGTAAAAGGAAGAAAAGAGGAGATCCGTTGTGATGAAAAGTTGGACGATTGAATTGACACATAGGTTTTACATCGGTCCAGTCGTTGAGTTGGTAAAAGGAATTAAACTCTATATAAACAAAAACATAATAGTAGTAAAAGTGTGGCCTTGGTCAACTGTTATATGGATGGTCAGTTCAGTCAACAGTTCCGCCAGCTTGGGAAGTCCATATGTTTGACTGGTGTTGTTTGCAGTGTTTAAATGTTTAGGGTGGCTAATTGAGCCTAAAATATTTTTCTGATGGGTCTTTCTGCTTTCTCTTCCTTTTTGTTTTTGAAGGATCATCGGAAAAGTCCACAGAATATGTTTAGGCCTCTGCTGTCAAGTGTCCCAAGTACCACCTTTTACACTGGAAAAGGAAGTACTGCCCAACGCTCATTGGTGTCTAGGACTTCTTCAGTTACAACCAGTAGTAATGCAAGCTCCGATCATGGAGGTAGTGCTGCAATTGATACTGAAGGAAGTGACCGCCTTCATGATGATGTGGTGGTTGAAAGTGGGAAAGACCTATATTTGACTGTTCAGGAAGATATATTTGCCTTTGATAGGGCAGATGACCTAAATAAAGATGTTGGGCATGTCATAGAGGATTTGGTGCCTCAGTCTCAGCTTCAAGATCTTGATAGAGATCTTGCAGTTAGGAGTGAGGATGGGGACTTTGAAGAGTTAAGCCACCGACATGTTGATATGGAAGTCGGTTCTCCATCTGACACTTCATGTGCAAGGACTTTCTCAGAAGTTGACAGTTTGAATAACCTTGGAAACTTGAAGATTTGTTCTAGGTGTGGTTGCAAATACAATGATGTCGAGGCATTGGAGACCGGCATCAATCTGTGTGTAAACTGCAGCAAACAAGACACTATAATAACTACTGAGAACCCTCTGCAATTGTCCGTTAGTAAAGGCAAAGAAGGGAGTACAAAGATGGATGAATCAGAGCTAGATTCTGCTGTAATGGAGCTGCGATCCCAAACTGACAATATGAGTTATGTTAGTGATAGTGTCCTGCATGAAGTCTTAGGCAAGCAAATTGATAATTCAAGCAATGAGCAGAGCCTTATGGACCCACAAGTAGAGTGGTTTGTTGCTATGTCAGCTGAAGAGGGAGATAAGCAGAAGATGGTCGGCAAGAAAGTAACTAAGGAACCAACTCTTGGCCGCAGCTTCTCCGATATTGTCACTGGAAGTGAGCAATTGTCAAACTGCAATGAATTCCGTACCTTGAAAGTTGATCTTGTCGAAGGTGCTGGCATTTCTGTAGTACTAAAGAAATCCAGCAGCAGTAAAGGGCCTGTTTTCCAAGGCAGGAGTTTTACAGCCTCTACCCTTAGTTATGATGACGTGTCTTACACTCGAGACAGTGCATACAGTTTGAGAAGCTCCTTCGGCCATGGTAGCACATCTGGATCGTCTTCTGTCGATCTCTCCTCATCAGTTAGGCAAATTGAGACCACCCGATTGCAGCGGCAATTGAGTGGGAAGAAATCTGATATTGAAGGCACTAGACCTCAAAGTAGTGGGTCATCGTTTTCCGGGTCTCTTAATAATCTTGCTCGTCAAGCCTCAGACCTTGTGACTAGTACAGGTGAGGAGAGTGTTTCAGGTTCTCAAGATAACGAAGTGGAAGCCCCGAATTTGTCTTCTTCCACTGGTCAACCGATTTCCGAGGAAACTTTATGTGAGAGAACAGACAACAGCAGGACCATGGATGCTTCTACATCACAGTTTGAAGAGCATTCTGAATCATATTCCACTTCGAAGAGCGTCCCGTTGTATGGAAATGAGGTAGAGTATCAAGACAATGCTAGAAATATCTCAGATACAGATGCATCGTCTCCCTTAGAGTCCTCAGTTGAAGCAGAAAATGGCATCACTAACACGAGTGTCGATCACAATCATACTCCCGAGGTTCCCAGTCACAGTCGGCTGGCATCAATATCAGAGATTGAAAGTGAGGATCACGGTCAAAGTCCTCCATGCTCAGAATTAAATGATCTTTCTGCAAACTTGAGAAGTATGACAGACGGATTTGAGGATCCTTCAGTTTCTGCACCATCAGATAAAGATGCCACTGCTTCCGTCCTGCAAACCAACTCTTCAGATCACGAACTTCGTGTTCTAGGTATCTGTTACGCTCTTCTTCCCATATTGCGTTTTGTTGATATATGAAGGGTTAATTACATTTTTGTTATTTGTAGTGTCGGTACGTAGTATGCCATCTTGACAAACACGTCATGTACTATTATTTTACACTAACTCATCCCTGTGCTTTCACTTATCGACTTTTTTGTCACTTTTTACATGTGCTGTTACGAATGAACCTAACTGAATTACTTTCCATGTCTATTGAATATTGATGTTTTGTTTCTCAATCGACTCTTAAATTTCACTGTCCTATCTTGTTCTTTTGATATGTATCTGTCATATGGGACGTAATGGGGCGAAAATTACGATCAGATCTTCATCATGCATGGCTTTTGACTTGTGAATTTATTTAGTTTATAGTGCAAGTACATTTTTTGTTAAAGCAACATAGTACGTGGACAAATGTCATTAACCCATTACAATGAACATTTATGATAATGTCTCTTCAGTTATGGTTAGGGCGTGCAACAATTTGATTCATATTGGACTGACTTAGTTTGGTTTTGATTCTTTGTTCCTCTAGCGAAACAAATTGGACTCGATCGAATCTAAACGAGATCACTTCTTCAGTTATCGTTTCCCACTTTTCTGTTATCCAGTGCCGATTCTTCTGACATTTCAAGTTTCTTTTTTGCCAGACGAATCCACTGTGATGGTGGAATGTCACGGAGGGAACAAGGTGGGGAGAAGCCTAACCCTCGAAGAAGCTACCGATACCATACTCTTCTGTAGCTCCATTGTCCACGACCTGGCATATCAAGCTGCAACAATAGCCATTGAAAAAGAACTCTCAGTCCCATTGGAAGATACACGGCCAACAGTTACCATCTTGGGGAAATCCACTCCTGATAGAAAGGATACCCGCATTGGTGGAAGAACCAGACGGAGCTTAAAACCTTCCAAAGTGAAGCAGCAGCAGCAGAAGCAAGTAGATGCCTCCGTGAAAAGCCCTTCCTCTGTGAAGGTAGAGAATGACGAGAATGCGGACGATTCCATGGTGCGGAACGTCGGTCTTCCTAATAGAATGGATAGTTCGAAGCCTCCAAAGCTGGAATCCAAGTGCAATTGCACAATAATGTGAAGGAATGAAGGTCTACCTCTGGTTTCTGTATGTTGATTAGAAATGGCTTCTCTTTATTTTTGGGGTGGGTTTGAAATGAAAGATCGCCAATTGGTTTTCCAAATTTATTTGTAAGAAAAAAGTACAAAAATTGATGTGTTTGTTGGGTAACATAAGCTGTAAAGTTTCTTGTATTTGTTGTTAGGTTGATTGTTAGCGGAATGAGTAAAAAAGAAAAGAAGGCAGTTGCCACTTGTGGTTTGTTCTAGCTTGTGACTTGGGGTAAGCTTCACTTGATGAGTGTAATGATCGTGAGAAGTTTTGGCTTGGATTCAAAGACTTCTAGCTAGGGTATGGAGATGACATGTTTGTCTGCCTCGTAGTTTGCTTTCTGTAGGCGGTCATTAGTAGGGATGACAATTTTATTCAAACACATGAGTATATTTTTACCCAATCCAGTTGGCTCATTGCCATTGGTGGTTTGGTGCACGTAAAGTATTGTTGTAAAGGCATACCGACAATCGTGGTAGTCGTGAAGGTGATCGTTTTGATGCGTTGCTTGTGTCGATGGTGTTGGCGGTTGGAGAAAAAGATGTGAATTAACTCAGAGCATTGACGGTCAGTGACGGATCCAGATGGTGACCACTACAGAACACGGTTCAGCCCTCCTCTAGATCCAGAACTAGTATAGCGCTTATACATTTGTCGATTTTAAGCATTCGGGCTAGTGTTATTTTATAATAAGATTGTTTGTAACTTAGAAAAATGTTCAGATGAACATATTCAAATAACTACTCTAAATTTGGCTTAGAAATACTAGTCTCAGTAATTTTTCATTGAAAAATAGAACAATGAAATCTAAAACTTTAAAAGTCTAAAACATAAAGGACTAAAAGAAATATGACCCCTTGCAAAATTACTAGAGAAGCTGGCCGAAATAGGGATGGACAAAGTATACAAATTGATTTGTCAGTTGATTCGTCTTGTGTTGACGTGTCTGTTTTAACGATTACGACAAAGAGAACCTTTTCATTAATGAAACATGTCAAAATTTATTTCCACAACAAAATGATCGATGAATTTCTTGCTGATTGCTTAATTATTTTATTTGAAAAAGAGAGTCTGCTATTGCCTATTGGTATGGATGTAGACTCCATTATTGTTGAATTCACTAAACTAAAAGACCGTGTGTACAATTGACAATGTAAAGAAATTATGGTAATTATATTTTTTTATATGTATATTCATTTTTCAATAAAACGCGGCCCAGTACTATGTTCTGGATCCATCACTGTTGGAGGGTAAAGATCCAAGCTACTCTTCAGCGCCTTCACCAACGGCTTGCAATCTGGGAAGATCGTAGCAGGACCATGGTCACTAACCTCCAATTTACATGCTTCCAAGAGAGCTTAAGCCTTGGTCTGAACCGGGGAATAACAGATGACCCTCCCCTCAACACCTCCCTCCGCCACTAAGTTTAAGTTCAAATTAAGAGTGTCCATTTGGGTCGGGATCGGTTACCCAAACAAAAACCCGATAAAGCTCGAAAAACCAAACCCGAAATCAGTAAAACCAAACCCAAAATCGATAAGGAATTTCGGTATTGGTTACCCAAAACCCGAAAGTTCCTTATTGGGTTCGGTTAAAGCAAAACCAAAACTCGAAAAATCAGACCCTAAGGATATGACCCAACTGGTATTCCTTAAGAGTTTTCAGCCGAACCCCGAAAAACCAATAAGCAAAACCGGACCCAAAACCAAAAACTCGAAACAAACCCGAACAAGAAAATTCAACAAAGTATCTTATCAGTTCGGTTTCAATTAAAACCAAAAAGCGGAACCCAAATGGACACCCCTAGTTCAACTACTTGTTTGCCTACCAGAACTTTTCTTTTTCATAAAATGAATATAAGGTGCACACTAACGTTTGTTACTATTAAACGAGTTTGGAATTTTCTATTATATCATGCAGAATGGAAAACGAAAAACACAACTCAATATCTAACTACGTGGCCAACAAAGTCTCGTTTTCTTTCTTTCGCACCCACTCAGGTAACATGATCGATACTTGTCCATAGAGTATTATGGGAAAAAAAAGATGAATACTTTGTGAAAAAAATTAAAAGGTAGTTTGCTTGTTGGATTTGAAATAATACATGATTTTTGAAAAATTCTGATGGATTTGTTTCATTGAGGAAGGTGGGTTTGCTCCACTCTTGTGCACGTATCCTGCATGTGAATCAGGCAACTACCACCTTGATTGCATCTGGCATGCTGGAAAGTTTCAGAATAAATCCACACTGGCTCCAGATCAGATTATGGCGGAAGTTAAGTTGAAGCACAACATGGAGGTGAAGAAGAGAACATGTTACATGCCAAAACTAGCAACTATTAGAATGTTGAGTGGGTCTTTAATGGCCGAGTTTCACAATATAAGGAGTTATGTTGTTGAGATGGTGAAACGGGATTGATGTGGGAAATTTCTTTTCGAGGTAGAACCACACCCTAGTCAAGATAAGGTCTTCTTCTAGAGGCTCTATGTTGAGTTCTCAAACCCGAGGGACAGATGTCTTGATGTTTGTCGTCCAATGTTTGGTTTGGATGATTGTTTCTTTAAGGAGGAGGTGAAAGAGATGCTTCTTACTGTTGTAGGGAAGGATGGCAACAATAAGATGTATCCACTTACTCGAGCAGTAGTGGAGGGTGAAAACGCAAATCCATGGAGGTGGTTTGTGAACATTTTGTCCCAACAATTGAACATGTAGATGGTTCAGGGTGGAATGTCATCTCTTATCAGCCAAAGGTTCTTTTACCATTATGGTATTCGAGTTAGTTAAATTTAGTTTGTTCCATTAGCCCTCTACTATTGTTCATATTTGTTGTTTTAGGGGTTAGTTGATGCTCTACGTGAAGTTGTTACCAGAAGCTGAACATCGAAAGTGTGCAAGACACGTCTATGCAAGATGGAAGACTAAAAACAAGACAGATCGGGTGCGTAAGTGTTTTTGGATGTGTGTTTATGCTTGCAATGAAGTCGATTGGAAGAAGGTGGCAAAAGAAATGGAGGAGATTCAATGTACTGATCCATTTAATACACCCTTTACGGACTTCATGGATGTTGAACCTTGATACTTCTGCCGAGCCTTCCTGTTTCCTGTTCCTAAGTGTGACTTAGTTGAGAGTAACATTCGTGAAACGCAGAACATATCAATTATTAAGTTTAGGGGGAAAAGAATCATTGATATGCTTGAGGGTATCAGGGGTTACACGATGGAGAGGGTTGTGATTACTACCAGGTGCCAAATGGTAGTGGTACCAAATGATAGTGGTACGCTACCACTACCAGAAGAAAGTCACTACCACGAGAAAAAAACAAAATCTAAAAATCCTACAATCACAGATCTAAAATACGAAGGGGATGGGATAAAGAGTATAGTGGCAGAGGGAGACACACTGGAAGAGGTGAGCAAAGGAGGCGACTACAGCGTCAGTGGATGAGGTTGGCGATAGAGGAGGGCGGTGAGAGAGAGATAGCAGAGACAGGGGTGGAGGGAGGCGGCGGAGGGCGCGACAGGAGGTGGAGTAAGGCGGAGGAGGATCGCGAGATGGGGGTTGAGGGAGGCGGCGGTAGTGAGCACGACAGGTGTGCAGCAGGCCACGACACGGGGGGGGGGGGGGGGGGGGGGGGGGGGGGGGGGGGGGGGGGGGGGGGGGGGGGGGGGTGCAGAGCCATATGCGGGAGAGAGGGAAGAGTTAGTGTTTTTTCATTTATATGGGGGATCAATGATTGAGTATGGTAAGTTTTTTCCATTACAAAAATATCCTTCTTTTAATCTTAACCATTGATTAAAAAAAAAGAGATAGGAGAGAGAACATATCTGATGGCTACAAAGTGGATTGTGAATCTCACAAACCTTAGAGGGTTGTGAAGTATCTCACCCGGTTCATAGAGTTCTTTCTTTTTTAATTTCAGTTTTCTACTTTTCCCTTTATAATAAATGTAATTTTCATTGTTAATCAATCAGCTTACATAGTTATATTATCATTTGAAATAAGATATGGACAAGTATTTGATAAAAAGACCGATGATTAAGCCTAATCCGAATAATGATAGTGGAGAATCGAGCAAAAACCAACATGTTGAAGCTCAATCTTCTTCACCTTCGTTGAATCAAACTGCTACCCTGTAACACCCCGAACCTTTTCCCGGCAAGATACTGTCCGCTTTGGGCCTCTACACCCGCACAGATTTTGACTTGGGGGTGCAATTCAAGGTGACTTCCCATAAGGTCACCCATCCTTGTTGTACTCCACACTGAGCACATTTAACTTCGGAGTTCTCACAAGAACTCTTCCATTACACCCCAAAACGCGTCTTGTCAGTTAAGGCCGGTTTCCTACTTATGAACCATGGATCTCTCCCGTACTTTGTCGATGTGGGATTTGCCTAAGGTGTTACATCAAGTAAGTCTCCTTCTAAACCTACAGAATATGAGATAGATGATCTGAATAGTTTGGAAGCTGATCCGGGGTTAAGGAGAAAGTTTTCAACTTTTCCTGCTAATAAGCATGATGAAATCAGAAGAGCGTATGTTCAAAAGGGGACATATCACAGGTTCTACTTTCCCTATTACAGAGATGAGCGGATTTAATCGCAAATTCAATCAAGTTTGGTATGTTTATTATAAAACATGGCTAGAATATAATGGTGCGAAAAATGCTTTATATTGCCTACCTTGCTATTTGTTTACATCAGGTGTTGGTAAATCAGGTGGAGGAGAAGCTTTCATTAGTCAAGGTGTTAAATGTTGGAATAGAAAAATGGCTTTGGATGATCACGTGGGTGGACCAAATAGTTCTCTCAATGTGGCCAGGAAAGGTGAAGATTTGTTGAAAGAGTCACAAAGCATTTCAAGTGCCTTAATAAGACAATCAAATAAAGCCAAAAGGGACTATTGAACATGTTTGTAAGCCTCAATTACTACAGCTAAGGTTCTTCTACGACAAGGAGTGTCATTTCGTGGGCATGATGAAAGTGAATTCTCGGAAAACAAAGGAAACATTCATGAATTTTTGAAAGTTATTGCTAATGAGAACCAGGATTTGTGAAGTGTTGTGTTGGAAAATGCTCCAAAAAATCTTCAATTGACATCTCCAAAGATTCAACAAGATATTGTTCATGCAATAGCATCTCTAACAACAAAGGAGATTATCAAAGATCTTGGAGATGCATTTTTTGTATATTGGTGGATGAATCTCGTGAGGTATCAATCCTGAGTGAGTTGATCTCATAATGGTAGGGGAGTGAATCGATCGAGCCAGGAGGTACCCAATATCGATCCAAATTATATAACTAGAGGGATTCAAATCTAATAGAGCTCCATCCCTTGTAATTAGCTAGGTTAGTGGTTAGCTAAATTAGTTAGTTTAGTTTTCCTAATCACTATTCTAGGTTGGCTAGATAATGAAACCTAACCCAAAGTAAGGTAAGCCTAGATTCTCGTGGTTCGATAAATTTTATTGCTTGTTTTCCCTATACTACACCCTGTCGTCGGTTATACTTGGCCATAGATTGAAAAGTGTAGTTAGAGCCGAGTTAGTATGCTGTAATTTGCCCAAAACTCATATCTAAAGAGTCTAGGTCTCTGCCACCGCCTCTCCTCTGTCCTGCTCCTCTTCATCTTGTCAAAGAAGAAGAAGTCGCCGCCGCTGCCTCAGGCTCTCTACCAACGCTGTTACTCTGCCCTGTTGGAGAAAAGGTTTCCAAATCGTCGTCTCCGAGGACCCTACATCGGCCACCGACGAAAGAAAAAAAAACTTGAAGTGAGGGAGTTGAGAGGCGACTATGAAAGAGATCTTGAGAGATCAAGAGAGGTAAGACGTGGGTTTAGATTGGGGAGTTGGTCGTCGAAGGAGATTACAGGGATGGGTAGGGACAAGGAGGAGAAGGGTAAAAGTGCAAAATTTATTAATTTGAGAAGGATCTAATTTATTTGTATTGTTGTTGAAAAAATTGGGGATTTTCTTAAAAATTTACGTAAAACTATTAATTATATGTTTTTATGACCTGACGTTTACATGGACGATACATAGGCATCACTTCTTGAATGGTTACTTGGTTAGACAAAAGTTGATCTTCGTTAGATACATTGTTAGTTCTAATTTCCAACAGTCAACATAAATTCGATTACCACAAATGACGCATACTTCCAATGATTTTAAATATTAATGTATTTATTAAAGTTACCTAAAGCTCCGAATGCAAGACCCCATTAGGGATGTGCTTTGGAGCAGATGATGGTGGAACGAAGAGGGCTGAATCGACGATCGTCAGGAGCCGCTCTGTCTTTTGCCGCCTTCGAGGGATGGGAGCGCTTGCTTCGCTGTCGCCGCCGCTGTCGAGGATAGTGAGATCTACTAGGCGAAATCAAATAAGCGGCCGGGTGCGAGTTCGACGAAGATGGAGATTGAAGGGTGACAGGACTGGGCTAAGGAGTCTGGACAGGACAGCGAATGAATGCGGCGACGGCGAGGGTTCCGGCAGATGGCGGCAAACCACCACTAGCGTCGGCGCCGGGCGAGGGATCTACCCGGATCGGCGTTTCGAAATCGGATACTCTCGCCGACGAACTTGCCAAGTAAGTGGATGATGCGAACGAAGACATCGACTCTTCTTCACTGTAGAGGTGGGTGCAGTTCGGTTCCGCCGCCAGGGCGAATCTCATGTGAGGATGAAAGCAACCACAACCTGGGCATGACGACGGTTCGTGGTTCACTCCTACTGCCGAACGGGGTGAATGCGGTTTTGTCGACTACAATCACGAACGGGGTGGCGGTTACGCTTCTTGGCTGACGATTCAGATAAGTACTTCCTAATCATTTGTTTATTATTATTATTATTATTATTATTATTATTATTATTATCCTTTCCCTTAATTCTTATCCTTCATACTTTTTTTGTTTTTAATTATTCTTTCCAACTTTTTTCATTTTTCTCGTATGTATCTATTGCCTTCTTTTTAAATTTTTATGCTTGCGAACTGTTAGGTCCCGAAATTTAGGTTCTAACCTTTTATTAAAAAAAAAAAGAAGAAAAAGAAAAGTATAAAAGAAAAAAAGTTTAGGTTTGTATCGGGTGGTGCCGGTTATCTAGGGTTTCCTGATGATCTGGTCCTCTATTTTAAGGGCGAAATGCTGCCTTGTGTCTATGTTGGTTTGTTGGCTCTTTGGCCTGGATTGTCCTAGTAGGGGTCTTTGTTTGTTCATTTTGCAGGTGAAGATTCAATTGCACAATTGTCGATCGGTGGCGGCGGTCTTGTCCACTAGGTAGCCTTTTGATGAGATTTGATGGAGCACTTGGAAATGATTCCCCTGATGTTGAGGGAACCCCTTGAATACTATTAATGTTTAGTTTGATGGTGTGGTCATGCATAGTCACGAAGGTCGTATTGGCTTTGTGGGTTTCCAATCGTCAGGTAATTTTCTCTTTGCTTTCGGGAAGTGTTATGAGGGATTACAAGATCCATTTGTTATACTAGAGGCCATACAGTGGTGCCTGACACTTTCCTTTGTCTCTGTCAAATTTCATGGGGATTCACAACAATTGATACAGCGGGATGGTGGGAGGCGACTTGGCGCATGATAGGGGTGGAGCTCTACTGGAGGATGCTAGGAGCTTAGCTTCTCACTTCAGCTGGATTTCTTTCTACTTTGTTTCTCGTCGACTAAATAGGGCTGCCCATCATGTGGCACAAAAGGCCCTTTCATCGGGAGTTCGACTATTGGTCGACTCCCGCACTTTTCTTTCTTCTTCCTTGTATCTATCTTTTCAACACTGACTTTGCGAAGAAAAAAAAAGTTACCTAGTATAAATGACATAGTCGCTGAAAATTAGTTTTTCTAGTAGGGATGACAAAAATATCCGTAATCGTGGGTATCCGCTCGAATCCGACCTAATTGAGTAGGACCAAACCGAAGAATTTCTAGTGGTTACGGGTAAAACCCGATATTGCGGGTAATGGATGGATACGATTTTGTCACTTTCCAACCTGAACCCGACCGATTATACACACGCATATATATTTTGTCTAGAAATAATCATGATTTTTCTCAAACATATTTTATATTTAGCATAGAATATAATATTTACATGAAATTGTGTTGTTTTAATTATTTTGTTTTTCATTCTAGTGAGTTATTGTTATACTTTTGTTTTTGTATAATGTGAAAATAGTGAATGTTAACATATTGATTGAAGTTATAAAGAGAAATTATTACTCATGAATAACTCTAGATCCCAAAACTCGAACGAATATGAACATAATTTTGATTTTCTACACGTTTCTTATGTGGGTATGAATCTTAGTATAACCCGAACTATTTTAAATAATGTAATACAGTACGTGAGCGGGCCCTACCCGTTGCCATCACTTTTAGTGATAATACAGATATGCACCCTAATCTAGTTGAAAAAGAAAATGAACGTCTATTTTGCGGGTTTGTGCTGCGCATCAGATGGGTATATTCGCGATATAATTTGATGAGACATAGCTCCGCGATTGGCATATTCACTCAGTTTGCGGCTTTGCGCACAGAAACGGAAAAAGCCCCAACTCTGCCTGTTGCGATCCCCGTTAGCCTGACCGACTGCACCAAGGAGAAGGCGCGAGAAGCAGTCACTGATTTGGGGGCAACCAACGGAAGCTTCAAGCAATCATAGAAGAACCCTAGAGAAAGCTAAATCATAATTCCTTCTGCGCTTTCTCTTACTTTTTTTTCCTAAGCAACCAACACACTTTCCTTCTTCCCTCCGGCCTCGACGGCGGCTGTTTGTATCAGCCACGCTTTCGGCTGTATATATCGAAAGGGAGAGACGGGGAGAGAAATTGAAGTGGGTTTTCCGGGTTTGGGAAAGGTAGGAAACGACCGGGAGATGAGGATGGGGGATGCCGGCGATTCGAGGTCTTTAAATCAGACCGATGTGTCTTCTTCTTCTTACTCATCCACCATTTTCACTAATTACCCGCTAATTGCTTCAATTGTCGCCTTCACAATTGCGCAATCTACCAAGTTCATCACCTTCTGGTACGTTCATATTCTACTGTTTTCCCGTCGCGAGGCCACTTTGATTTGTTTGGTAGCTTTTCAGGAGCTGGGTTTGTATTCTTTCAGAAAAAAGCTATGGTATTTGTGTTTGCTTGTGCTTTGAATATGTTACCGCTGAATTGAATTTTTCCTTGTATGATTTCTTGTTAGAATGAATGGTCTGTCTACTTTCCGGCATGATTGATAGATCTTGAGAACGGGATGGAAGTGAATGGAATTTTTGCTTGTGCTTTGAATATGTTACCACTGAATTGACTTGATTATATGATCTCCTGTTAGAATGCGAACCCTTTTAATGGTCTGTCTACTTTCTGGCAATCTTTGGCGGCATGATTGATAGATTTTGAGAATGGAATGGAATTTAGTTTGGTACATGAATGAAACTAACTACCAGTCACCCAAGAAAAAGAAAGAGAATTAGTTAGTGAAAATATCTTGAGCATCCTCTAACCTAAAAACCTTTTGTAGCCATCCAATCAAGCTGATGAAGTTGTTCTGTGAATCGATCGTGTATGCACTTGTCGCTTTTGAACAGATAAGCTATTGGGAGCTATCGATATCTGCATTTGTGTCTCCATAAGAGACCCTGGAAACCCTTTTTAGCTATCTGCACTAAGCTTTTCTTGTTGGTACGTCGGGTTGTTGATTGGTTTAGCTTATCTTTGAAGCGGCTTAAGGTTCCCTTAGATATGCAGGTACAGGGAAAAACGATGGGATTTGAAGCTGCTCATTGGATCTGGTGGAATGCCATCTTCCCATTCCGCGACTGTGTCTACTCTCGCCATGGCCATTGGGTTCCAGGAAGGCTTTGGAGGATCGCTTTTCGCAGCTGCATTGATCTTAGCTTGCATTGTAAGATTCGTCCCTTCAATTGTAATGCAAAATAAAAGAGGCGAGAGTTCTTTATTGATGTGTATTTATTTGGTTGGCAGGTGATGTATGATGCAACTGGTGTAAGACTACAAGCTGGACGCCAAGCTGAGGTTTCGAATGCTCTAATCTAGTCCCTCGTGTACAATTGGTGGTAATCAATCCCAATTACTAGTTAATCTAATTGAGTTTTATTGCTTCAGGTCTTGAATCAAATTGTATATGAACTGCCTGCTGAGCATCCTTTGGCTGAGAGCATACCTCTACGCGAGCTTCTTGGTCACACTCCTGCTCAGGTAATAATACCACACATTACTTAATGCTTATGTTTGTAGCTCTCCAGAGAATTTTGAGGGTTTGCGAAGAATGGGGATGGTCATTATGAGACTGGTAGACTGCTGAGCACAATCTCGAGTCTGTAGTGCTTACCTTTGTGGATTTATCTATGGTGATTGATAGGTAGTGGCTGGTTGTTTGCTTGGAGTTGTCACGGCGATCATTGGTCATCTAATCACAATGACGACTAGTCAAAGCTGATACAAGTCCAGGAAGATATTACACTCCCCCCCAGAGCACATCAAAGAAGCTAAAGTTCAGCTCACAAGACATGGGTCTTTGGAATTTGAAAGAAGCTCTGTGCTGGAAAAAAGGTTTGACAGACATGAATGAGGTGATTCGGATGTGGTATTTGAAAAATGAAGGATTGTATTTTATTATAGGATTTAGAAAGTAAAGAATTGGTGTTGGATTAGGACAAATTTTGTTTTTATACCTTTGGTCTTTTTTATGTTGGATTTGGGTCATTATTATGTGTGAAATGTAAGCAAAATGGTAGGGAAAATAGAGGATTTGCCAAATCTCACTGGACGATGTGGCAATTCACCCTTGTTGAACTTCGTGTTTGACTTGATCTAAACTACACTAAGGTGAAGTATAACCAATGTATAACCAATGCCGGGGTGTAGCATAATGGAAGTAAAGTAATAAAATTATCGAATTCTATGGTCTCTAGGTGTACCGTTACTCTTCAATTTGTTATCTAGCAAGACAAGATTTGAGATTAAGAAAGTAAACTAACTAAACTACTCTAACAACTACACTAACTAATTACTTGAGAGCCCACTTAGGCATGGACTCCTCCTAACCACTAATCTGATTAATGATCGACGACCCACTAACTTGATTCATTATTCATCATATTGCGGAGGAACCTTGACTAGACCTTTATTCGAGCAATCAAGACCCTCTTGAGTGAGTTGCTTAGCGGGTCGTAAACTTCTTCAAAAAAACTGATCTAGGCGTTCGGCACTAGACGCCCTTTGGATGAGATTCTCACACAATACAAAGCAAAGACGTGACTCACGCTATTGCAATCGACCCCTTACTCCCAATCTATGGTGCTCTATTGCCCTAATAAGATTTTCTCTCAACTAGGGTCAAAGTATAGTCAATAATCTTGATCAAGGAAGAATTGAACATAAAAAAAAATGCATAGATTGGATATGAACTCAAGAATATCAAGATAGAATACTCATGCAATGATTTAATCAAGTTAAACATGGCTAGGGTTCATAAAAATCTAAGTGAAAGAGAACTATTTCATAGAGAGGGGGGAGAATACAATATAAAGCCGAAGATCTTCAATCTTCATGTCTATGCTTGATCGTCTGGCTCCAATGATGATGGGTACCTCCACTAACCCTCCTATACCGCTATCCTTCTTTTGGGAATGTCCCTTGGGTATTTTTGGTCGAAAACCCAACTATCCTCTCTTAAAATTGCATTAG